TCCTGGTCACAAAATGTAAGGTCACACAGTGTCATTCCAGCGTGGGAAAAATTCATGCTTTAAACTGAGACCCAGTGATGACTTTAGTGATTGAGTCAGTATATGTGATGGTCAAAAAATGTACAACTGAATCGCATTATCATTTTGATGAAATAATTCATCCCTTACCATATTAGAGGTCTTTGGGAGTGGATTATAGCTGTGAGGGTGAGACACAGCATTTGTTCTGGGAGACCTGATGACCTGTGAAGTGTGCAAGAAAGGTAAGACACGTTATGAACCAGAAATGCAATGAAATAGACGCAAGACCAGTCACAGAAAATGGACTTTTTTCTTCGGTTTCACACAAATTAATGTTGTGCATCTATTCTTGTGTTTGTTGTAGAATGAGTTCCATCGGTCGAGTTCACAGTACGACCACCATTGTTAGTGACCTACCACGACGTAATCAGAACTGTTGTAGTTAGACGGTTATAAACTTTCGACATATGTATCGTGGCACTGATGCATTTTCGGCTGCATTGTGGGAATGGCACAAACCCTCCTACTCTGCTCACAGGTAGGTGTGAGTAATAGATCTTTAGCATCGTCACTGTATTGTTAACTTGTATCAGGGAGTAAAGGTTTGAAAAATACAGTTGTTCCGAAACTTTGTTAAATGACATTATCAGTCACGTATGTGTATTTAAGAAACAAAGAAATGTCTGACTGAAAGTATTCACTGACCGTGGTATAATAGAAACGAAACTATTCAGATGCATTATTACCACCTCTATAATGATTCCAGTATTGAAAGACCACTTCGAACTTGTTGAATCTTAAGCACTCCCAGCTTAAGTCATCCACTGTAACTGTAATGTTCAGCACTAAATATTTAATGACTAATGTCGTAGGCTAAACAGTTTAGGAAAATAGTTTGCTTCTATTGAAAATGCTGTTCTATGCGTAATGGATTGAACTGAGTATTAAAACATCAAAGTAGTTTACACAACATGATAAGTTTCATGTTTTCACAATATCTCCAACAGATTTATCAAAAAATAAATTTATCATTGTGTGTAAATTATTGAAATACAATTACAATACAAACCAACACTTGAATAACAATTATAATTAATTAATATACATACATTATCATAATTAGACAAATCATATTCAGTCAGTGTCTCTCATCATTACATACTGAGACCAATACAAAATAATCTCAAACCTGGATGATACACTGTGTTGGTGAGAAATAATGGGGTTATTTCTGATTAGACTGATATGTACCAAACACTGTTTATATAAATGCATCAGATCATGTGAATGTGCATGGGAGGAAAATTAAGGCCTTTGAGACATCCTCCATCATTAAATCATGACGATATATTCATCCGTAAAAACATACTATCGTGTGCGAATAAAATTGAAATATCAACCACAAAATTATTGTTTTACATATAAAGAATCATAAATCGGAATAGTTCAATATCCAAATGTTTGCAATTTTTCGATTGTTCATCAGAAAATATTTGAATTACAACGGAAATTAGAAGACTAATAATATCTTACGCATTCTTGAATTTGATTCCACTCTCTCACCAGATATAATTTCTTAAAGGAAACCATTAATACACGATTCTACAGCGTGATGATGAATTCGTCAGAAGAAGTCAATTCGCTGAATACAATAAGCGACAAGAATGCCTTCTAATTTCTCAACACTCTTGCTCATATAAAGTAGATTCCAGATGGTTAAAATATGAATTAGTGAAATTATTCTTATATTCTGACTTACTAGAAGACTAACTAGACTGACTGGAATGCACTAAATGCTAAATGAGTAAACTACACACTCAACTGAGTATGAAATCGATTTAGAAGAGAAAAAAAAACGCAAAATTGTCAACATAACTAGCTAGGAAACAAACAAACAAAGTTAACTTAATTAGACAAGATTACCAAAGGTTCACATCAGTATCACATGGCACACATCACTCAATTTAGACTAGATGAACGCCACTCAGCTAAAGTTAATGAGATGAGAATACTTTCATAATATTCAACATAAAAGATGCCGCAGAATATAGGTCAAACAGAGAAAGACGAAGAAAAGAAGAAAAAGGAATGAAAGCAGTAGTAGACTGTTAATAAACCGTGAGAAATACTGGATGAGAAAATTTGATAGCTGTTACGGAATTCTGTAGACTGGATGAAGCTACAAGTAGAACGATACTTAACTTTATACTGATATTTTTGAACAATAGAGTGCGTATTTCTTTGCACTAAAAACTATCAAGTTCCAAACAGAGTATCCCTTGATTTAGGTGTAGTAATTGGCAGTGTCGCATAGATAAATCGTATAGATTTCGGAGAGAAACATCTCTCTCACTGAAGTACAACATCTGAAAATCAAGCAAGCTAATTCGGTTGGGAGACATATAAACTCATTGCACCTGAATTAAACCCAAGAATCACTGGATGAAATGACCTTGAATGTATGAACCCTGTCGAAGGTTTCACTTGACTGAAAGCGAAGTTACTGTCAGTCGCAAAGAAGAGGTTTCTGAACTGTTTAATGAGATGGGGTTATATGCCGAAACACGTTATTTCTCAGCCATTGATCATACAGGATTTAGTAGCTGTCTAGATTGCTTTACATGTGTTTATACAACGATGAATTGGTCTAATAAACAAGCGTAGCCCATCAAAGTGCAATACTGAAAATACTGGCTGGATTCGGAAGCCATCTTGAAAACGTCCACACTCAGTTCAAAGTGAAATGATCAAGACCGTATACAATAAGTCTACACTTGACTGCATAGGCCAAACGGAGCAATCGAAGGTCCTACTGCATCTTGAGTATTATCCAATCCAATGTTCATGATAAAATAGTTGCCTGCACATACCTAACACGTATTCTGGCCATCTCAACTGATGCAGTTTCACAACCGCATGGATTAATTTCCCCTCCCTACGTCAATCCCCAATGACACCCCCAACCACATACACCTGTGTACGACAGCAGGACAAAGCCTGTAGTTAAAGATGCTTAACTGCCTCATTTCCCCCAATTTGAAAATCAAGGTTAGAAAAAAACATTCGTCAACATAATCCGAATTATCTACGTGACACAACCAATTACTACACCTAAATCAAGGGATACTCTGTTTGGAACTTGATAGTTTTTAGTGCAAAGAAATACGCACTCTATTGTTCAAAAATATCAGTATAAAGTTAAGTATCGTTCTACTTGTAGCTTCATCCAGTCTACAGAATTCCGTAACAGCTATCAAATTTTCTCATCCAGTATTTCTCACGGTTTATTAACAGTCTACTACTGCTTTCATTCCTTTTTCTTCTTTTCTTCGTCTTTCTCTGTTTGACCTATATTCTGCGGCATCTTTTATGTTGAATATTATGAAAGTATTCTCATCTCATTAACTTTAGCTGAGTGGCGTTCATCTAGTCTAAATTGAGTGATGTGTGCCATGTGATACTGATGTGAACCTTTGGTAATCTTGTCTAATTAAGTTAACTTTGTTTGTTTGTTTCCTAGCTAGTTATGTTGACAATTTTGCGTTTATTTTTCTCTTCTAAATCGATTTCATAAAAACTCCTCTCTTAGTTTACTCATTTAGCATTTAGTGCATTCCAGTCAGTCTAGTTAGTCTTCTAGTAAGCCAGAATATAAGAATAATTTCACTAATTCATATTTTAACCATCTGGAATCTACTTTATATGAGCAAGAGTGTTGAGAAATTAGAAGGCATTCTTGTCGCTTACTGTATTCAGCGAATTGACTTCTTCTGACGAATTCATCATCACGCTGTAGAATCGTGTATTAATGGTTTCCTTTAAGAAATTATATCTAGTGTAGGAATTGAATGAATTTTGGGAATTCAGAAGATAATAATAGTATGAAATGCAAACCAAATATTGTGACCGTAATTTTATTTGTATGTCAAGTGAACAAACATAGAATCTATGCCTATATGTATATTTATTGTGGATAGATATTGTATAAGGATTTGTATAAAAATTTATTTTGTTATGCGAAGAAAGGATCATGGAAACCTCGAATTAACCTTGTTATCGAGGGTTGCAATGTGGTATCCATAAACCAGATAATGAGGATCACAGTTGGTATGACGATGTGGATATGTGCTGTTGAATCCCCATATTCCACTAGCAACTAGAAGGAACAGTAATTGAATAGTCCTTTCACTTCATACAGTCTTAATTTTTTCCTTATATATTCCTAAGTCGAATGTTTGTCTTATCGAACTCCACAAAGTATGTTTTGTCAATACATTACACAGTTGAAATCCATCGCCTGTTCTAATTGTTTTGTCGAAATTCATAAACGCTACGAAATTTTTTGAAATCGTAATTTATCCAAAGATAGATTTTGTCACTGATTGATATTACTTAGAGCATCAGTCTCATCAATGGTACATATCTGTGATCCTATGATGCAGGGTTTTCAAGATTTTAACTATTGTGTTGAAATCCATTTACTCATAAATTCTTATTTCTGTCTTTTTCGATTTATCGTCACTGTCAGCTAATCTCACATCTTAACAGCTTCCCTTACATCCCCATAGTGAAACCTGAAGAGAATCAAGTTACTCACTATAAACTAATCTTTTAGGAATCTACTCACTTTGAATTATTTATCAGTCTATTTTATGCGAAAGAATTGGTTGATTCGCCTTCACATGGATGATGAATATGGACAGCAACAATGACCGTAAATCGATAAAGTTTTTTTTTTTCTGTAACCAATGTACTACTGACTATTTATATATGTTAGCTATTATGCTGTGTTACTTGCCAAATGTAGATGCATCATTAGATAGGTGAACACAAAAGTGAGATACACATATGTACACCATATACATACATAATGTGTGTTCATACATAACTATAAAAGGGCTTTATATGAGAGGTTTAATCATAAAAATATTTCGCAGGAGTCAATAGTCATAACAAACACTGACGAGAGATTTCCAATCATGCGAAATTCGTTACTTAAAGCATCAATTTGCCTTCTGCTTCTATTATCTAACAATAATGCAACTAATGAAAGTAAGTTGATCATTATTCCTTTTTTATAACTTGTCAAAATACTCAACTGTACACTGTCTCCGCAGCTGGATTTACTCCTACTATTTCTCTATGCTTTAGCCTACTATCCAATTGGATAATACATCTGATGAATAAGCTTTGCACTGGAAGTATTCTGTGCTGCTTAACATCAGGCTTACTGGTGATTTCCTTTCCCATCCTCATACGCTCTGTCTTACGAATGTACATGTGAAACAATACCGATGCCTGGAAATATGTGAGAATACATTCACCGATTAAAACCATGTACTGATGGACAGAAAGGTAATGAAACAGACAAATGCAACTATAAACAGACACATACATATACACAAATGTAGACATAAAAAAATATCATTAATATATATATATATATATATATACATTCATCGAAGATTGGGAATCATATGCAGTTCGCACCCACTGGGGTTCGAACTTGGGGCCTTGCGCTTATGGGGCAAGTTCGTGGACCATTCAGCCACAAGGACATAACTCATCAACCACTGCAAGAATTCTTACTTCTACCTAATCTTGATTAAGCGCGACCACAAAAAGAATGTCATTGGTGGGACATTAATCCCCACACTTGACTGGATGGACCTTTCCGGTTGAGACTTCCAATTAGAACTATACACATATAAATAGTGAAAGTTATGCAGAGATAAACATATACACATGTACAAATATATATATATATATATATATATATATACCGATCCTCGCTTTGATATCATCGTCAGTTTCGCCTGTATTTCAAATTATCCTCCCCAGGTAAACTGAAGTAGGTTGCTTCTTTTAGATTTCTCCTACCTATACTGATTGTTGTCTGCTGTTGTTGCTCTTGCTGTTGGCCGAGGATCTTCATCATCGGTATCTTTCTGTGTTTACCTGAAGGAAGTTCTATCTATGATGCATGTTCTGCCAACTTGTCACTCTTCAGCTGCATATCTTGCAATTTGTGGGAAATCAGATCCTCCAGGATTTTTGTGTGTGTCCATTAATGTCTGTTTCCCTCCAACGCTGTCTGTCGAATTATCCAGTCTACCGCAATAAGGAAAATCACTGAAGATAGTAGGCAGCAAGCCAGCCTTGTCTTACTCCTATTTTCACTTCTTCGAGGTATTCCGTGAGTTTCCGTTGTGGATTACTTGGCATGCATCATCGTCGTACAACTGCTGGATGAGATGTATGATTGTTGGCGGCATCGCGTAATAGAGAAGTAGTTGCCAAATCGCCTCTCGATCAACGCTGTCAAAAGCCTCTTCAAGGTCAATGAAGTTGAGATAGAGAGGTTACTGCTATTCCAAGCTCTGTTCAATGATGATCCGTGGAGTTGCAATTTGATTGATGCAAGATTTGTTCCTCTTGAACCAAGCATGTCCCTTGCCCTCCTTCCACAGCTTCTGCAGTAGTGATTTCATCAGGTACACTGATGTCTCTGAGTCCGTTTCAAAGCTTCTGTTGCGATTTTATCTGGTCCTGTTGCTTTCCCTGTTTTGAACATCCTGGTTGCCTTCAGGACTTCTAATTTCGTCGGGGTGTTGATGTGCATTGGTGGCAGTACTGTTTTCACTGTTGATATTATTGTGCGCGTTGTAAGTGGCGGTCGATTTAGAAGTCTTTTGAAGTGTTCAGCCCATTACTTCCTTTTCTCTACCTCTTCGGTGATTGCCTTTCCATTTTCATTCTTCACTGACTGGAATTGTATTGATCTCATCTGCGATAGGACTCTAGTTTTTTGGTAGAGTGTTGCAAGATCTCCTTTGCCTCCACTGCAGCTTGTTCTGCATCATTTGCCGTGGCTTCATAATATTTTCTTTTGTCTTCCCTGGCACTCTTCTTTACTCTTTTGTTCAGTATATTGTATCTTGCATTCAACTCCTGTTTTTGTTGCTCGTCGATGCGCCGGATAATCTTTTGTTTCGCCATCTTTCTCTCTCGTTCTAATCTCCATGTGTCCATAGTGAGCCACTGTTTGTCCTGTCTCTTCTTTCTGCCTAGAACTTCCATGCTTGTTTGGCTCCACACCGTTTTCAGGTCATCTCAGTGCTTTTCAACGCTGATCTCTTCGCTAGTGTTGACTTGTGTCTCGGATTTTTTCCTTATGTTTGTAGTGTAGATGTCTTTTGTATCTTGATCATTCAGTTTTTGAGTGTTGAACTTGGCTTGTGCTCTGTCTGCAGCTCCTGTTTCCCTGGAAGTCTTTAATTTGTTTTGGAGGGTTCTTTCTACGAGACAGTGGTCTGAGCCGACGTATGCTCCTCTTCTTAATATTGTGTCCAGTAAGCCCAGACTCCACTTCCTTAAGCAGCATTTGGTTTTCGCTTCGCCCATCTGGTGACACCCATACAGCCTTGTGGATATCTTTGTGCTTGTATATGCTGCCAGCAATCTCTTGTTCACTACAGATGCAGAAGTTGGCACATATTTCGCCATTTTCATTTAATTTTCCGAGAGCTTCTCTATCCATGATGATTTACCTTCCTACGTTGTCTGGTTCCAGTTTGGCGTTCATGATTTCGATTTGTGTTTCAATGTCAACGACTGGAGTATTGTCCATTGTCGCCTGCAGTTGTCTGTTTAACTGTTATTTGTTTTCGAGGTCTGTGTTATTTGTGGGTGCATGGCATTGTTTAACTGACACTTTCCTTCCTTTGGCCTTGAATCTGGCAGGCATTATGCTGGGCAAGATCGCCTCCCATTGTACCAAAGCCTTCGGTGTTGATGATGATAACATGGCAGCCACACCCTCATTGTGTTTTAATTGTATTATGAGTGACTGAACTAGTTTACTGACTCTTCTGTTGACGATATATTGAGCCCATCTGCTCACATATATTCCCAGGAATTGAAGAGCATGTCATTTTATCTCACCAGCTTTGAATAAAGCATTAAAAAGAAAAATTTCACGAGATGATATCACTTCGTAGTCTCTTTACAACCGCTTTACAACTAACATGGTTAACAATGATAAAATGAAGTTCATGACAATTGCTCAGTTAAATAAAAAAAACAAAAGTACATACTAATGACCAGTCATATTTAAATAGGTCATGTTGTCCAGGGTAGGTGAAGATTGAAGTCCATTGTTTTTGTACACACAGTTTAGGCTGTATGTGATGTACCATTCAAAGGCGGCCATATTATGCAGTTGACAGCTCAAAGACTTTGGTCAGCCATCAAAGGTACATTCTACGCCGCATGTCTTATTCTCATTTGCTGAACATTTTTGATCCCTGTACCTACGATTAAAGGACGAAATCCTGTAGACTCTACCGCAAACTGTATCTACACGTTCACCTGCAGCTGCGATGACATCTATATAGTTAGAACCAACAGAATGTTCCAATGTCTTCGGAAAGAACATGTTCCAAAATGACTATTAAATCATATCGAAAATCCCAATGCGATTAATCTGAATAGAAATCCAGCATCATCCATTGCAAAACACTTATTAATTTCAGGTCACAAAATCAGTATTAATGACTGTTTCACAATTATTTCACATAACTCTAATTCAAGGTTACTGAAGGTGATGGAAGCACTTTGGATTAATCACATACAGCCTAAACTGTGTGTACAAAAACAATGGTCTTCAATCTTCACCTACCCTGGACAACATGACCTATTTAAATATGATTGGTCATTAGTATGTACTTTTGTTTTTTATTTAACTGAGTAATTTTCGTGATCTTTATTTTATCATTGTTAACCATGTTAGTTGTAAAGCGGTTGTAAAGAGACTACGAAATGATATCATCTCGTGAAATTTTTCTTTTTAATGCCTTATTCAAATTTATCAAAGGGACTAATTGCTTTTATTCGCAGAAGCTTTGACAGTTTAGTACATGGTGGGGACGTTCCATTACCCTACATAGACGTTTTCTTTTGTCGTGAGGAGGCTGATCGTGCTGAAATTTCTGTAGTAGTTCTCTTCACAAGGTGCTAGGTTCATTCCTCAGAAGGAGGCTGTTGCACGAATATATGGGTTACACAAGATAGATAGATAAAGTGGTATATACATAATAGGATAATAGTACTGACAGGGAAATACCTACATGCAAACGTACATACATAGACAGATAGTCAGAAATCATTCAGACATGGTTATGGCTACATCGATAGATAAATAGAGGGATGGATATTTAAACGTAGAGAAACTGAAATATGTATTTAAATATATATAGAATTAGATAGTTACATAAACAGACTGATAAGTATATGCACATTCACATGGAATGACAGACATATTGATAAATAGATGAACAGGTGGATAGATGGATACCGATTTGCTCGATTTCGTTAGTCTCAGTGATGTTAAAAGAGAATATGTGAGTCGACTTTATTATTGTAGTGCAGTGTGTTTGCATGAACGGCGATCTGCATTATGATTCTATTTGTATTTGCTGAAAGAACGTCCTGTCTTATCAAAATTTACCAAATACTTCTGTGTTTTGATTTCAGATTTCGACTACGACGACGATAGCGAATGTAAGTTTGTGGTGTTTTGCAGGCCAATAGTATTTTTCAGTCTTCATGGGGTGCTATTCGCACCACGCTTATTTCTTACTCAATCAATCGCTCCCTCAGTCAGTGACAATATCAGATGTCGATGATTTAGTCAATTGTTTCATTTGATAGGCAAATACGCAGATAGATATGTATATAGGTGCAGTGATAGATAGATAGTTAGATAGACTATTTAATTGATAGTCATAAATATATATGTGGATAGACTGATAGATAGTTAAATATAGAAATGGATGAATAGTTGTACAGATTATTGGATAGACAGACAGATATATAGTTAGGTAGTTTCCTAAATATTTAGGTAGACTGACACCTAGATATTTTTATTATTCCCTTGAGCTCAGAGTGGAACATAGGGCTTCAACAACACATCTCCACTTTTTCTGTTTTCTGCCATCCTCTTCAGCTTGATCCATGATACGAACAAACTCTCTCATCTCTTCCGCACACAATCTCCTCCATGTCACCCTCACACTGGAGACCCATTCGTAGCTTCCCAACGGGATTCGACTCAAGCACTGGTCTGGCGTGTGATGTCATTCGGTGGCCTCCTCAATGCATGTCCGACCCATCTCCACTTTCTATTGGTTGATTTGTTCCACTGAAGAGTTTCTTGTTCGTAATTCTTTCTGGACATTTGACTTTCACAATGGAATTAGCGAATGTGGTAGCTGTTAATGAGAGACTGAGACTCGTTGGAAATCATTTTCGTGACACGCTTGCCAATTTTTTGACTCGTATAGGAGAACAAACTGACTGACTTCAAATTTGCGTTGAAAATCCGAGTCTTGTTCTCTACGCTGGTTGAGTGAATTAGAAGATTTCCAAACTGTTTTCAGGTTGATGAATGCGTATCTTGACTTTCTGATACCAAATTGGACATCCTCATTCATTCCGCCTGTATTTGAAACGACGCTTCCCAGATAAGTGAAGGAGGCAACCTCTGTCAAGTCTCTCCTGTTGATGGCGATTGGTGCTGGCTGTCGTTGCTGTTGGTTGATTATCTTCTTCACCTCTTACATCGCTTTGTTCACCTGCAGTCCTGTCTTCACTGCCTCTTCAGCCAGTTAATTGGTTTTCGCTTGAAAGTCCTCGAGTTTGTGTGACATTACACATATATCATCTGCGAAATCCAGATCTTCCAGAGTCTTCTTATCAGTCGTCCCGCGTATTCCTGTTTTCCCACTCCCCTCTCACTGTCTGGCGCATAATCCAGTCCACCACAATTAAGAATATCACAAGGGGTGATAATAGGCAGCCACCTGGTCTTACTCCTGTGTGCACTTCGAAAGCTTTGCTGAGTTTTGCGTTGCGAATCACTTGACATGTGGCATTGTCAATTGGTTAGCTGTTGAAGGAGGTTTGAGGTACGCCATAGTGTTTAAGAAGTTTCCGAATTTATTTTTGATCAACGCTGTCGAAGGCCTTTTCGAAATCGACGAGGTGAGGTACAGGTTTCGCTGCCATTCTGCGCTTTGTTTGATGACGATGCGTAGAGTAGCAGTTTGGTCAACAGATGATTCGCCCTTCCTGAATTCAGCTTGTTCCGCTTAGGCTGGCGGAGTTCCGTATCCATTGCTTCCTTTATTCTCTCCAGAATGATACGACCTAATATTTTACTTGTTATGGACAAGAATATTATTCTACGTCAGTTCTTGCACAGGCATAGTTTGCCGTTCATTGGCAGTTTGAGGAGGTAGTCTTTCTTCCAATCATTAGACACCATTCCTTCTTTCCAACCATTCTGCAGTATTAACGAGGAAAACATCTGCCAGAATCTCTGGGGTCGTCTTCGGCGATTTAGGGAATGTCGTCTGGTCCTCCTACCTTCGAGGCTGAACTTCAGTTGCTTGTTCGGATTCAGGATTTCGTCTTTCTTTGGAGGAGTGGTGTCCACTGACATTTCCGTGTTTGCCGTTGGTGGTATTTCTAAGCGAGTTGCCGGTATTGGTCGATTCAAAAGTCCTTTAAACTGATCAGACCATTGTTTGATTTCTTTCCTCTCCTTCGTGATCAGCTTCCCTTGAGCATATTTTATTGGTTTCATCGTTTGTGTTGATCTCTTCCCGGATATAGACTTGGTTATCTGATAAAGTACCTTGATTTTTCTTTTGCATGCGGCCTGTTCTACTTCAGTTGCCCAGCAGCGTGTCGTATAATTGTCGTTTATCTTTTCTAGTACTCTTATTTACTCCTTTATTCAGTGCAGTGTACATCGGACTCAGCTTCCCCTTTTCTTGTCTATCTCTAAATTGAATCACCTTCTATTGCACCAATTCTCTCTTCTTTCCCCGATCAGCTTCCAGGCATCCGTCGACAGCCATTCCTTGGCTTGTATCCTCCTTCTTTCTAGAACAGTTGTACACATTCCATTAAATATCGATTTCAGAGAGTTCCACACGTGTCTCGTCAGTGACGGCGCGTAGTGAGTCGAACGTTGCTGTGATATCTGCAGCTAAGGCGTCCCTTGTAGTTATGACTTTCGGGTTCTGAGTATTGAACATGAATTGTGGTCTGTCTCCATTTGTTTTCCTGGATTTCAGCTTCACCTTGAAAGTTTCTTTGTACCAGACAATGATTCCAGCCAACATCTGCTCCCCTTCTCAAAGTAGTATCAAGCAGGCAGGCTGCATCTCAACTTCCTTGAGCTGCATTGAAATGAACTCTATTTTGTCTGTCAGTCAGGTGAAATCCATGTTGCTTTGTGTATATCCTTGTGCTTGTTTACGTTTTCTGCGATCACCAGATCATCGAAAGCACAGAAGTTTGCGAATAATTCTCATTCATTTCGCCCAGTGAGTGCCGCTCGTCGCATGATGTGTTCTCTTCCTATTTTATCTGCTCCCAGTTCGGCATTCATAACGTCCATAAGGATTTTAACGTAAAAGCCTTCCTTCTTCTCTTGTTCCGTATTGTCTGTATCACCGTGCGTAGCACTGGATAATTGTGACCTTCCCCCTCATTTTGAGTTGAATCTTGCTAGCACGAACCTGGATGAAATTGGTTTCACTGCATTAAAGCTTTCTCTGCCACTGGTGACATCATTATAGCCACCTACGGCTTCAGTATGCTAGTGGTTGTCATCTGAGTGTCCAGACAGGAGTCTATTGCTGATTCGTCAGTTGAAAAATTTCCTAATCCACTTTCATTTCAGATGCCAAGCACTTTTGTGCCATATCTTCGCATTTTTCTGGCTACTTAGGCAGACTTTCTTAGCCTCCTACATTGAAGGGATATTCCATGCCTCCATTCGTATTCTTGCTTTCATCGAGATAGCGAAGACACATTGGCTGGCTGACGGGCTTGTTGAAAGCTGGGTTTCACCAGCCCGAGTCATTTCGCTTGTCCGTTTCATGTGAAGAATAAGATTGTTGTTATTGTGGGTTTTTGTGCTTTTAATATATTGTCTGCGTGTTAAGGTTTCTCTAGCGTTTTGAAAGATTTAGTGGTGTGGAGTTGCTATCTCCACGCCAAACCCTCCTTCTTAACTCGGGCTTGGGACCGGCCAGAAAACCAGTGGTCTGGTTAACTAGACGAGGTTGACATTAAGATATAATATAAATTTATGTTTAAATATTTATTTATAGATGGATAAATGCATATACAGACACAGAGATGCATGTAAAGATGCATATATAAATATACACATACATGTATATAGATTGATGAATTGATACCATAATTGCTATGGTTTTGAACAATAGATTGTGTACAAAACAGCATCCAGTAAATAGTACTGTTCCACTGCGTGATATGTATAATGAACAAAAATAATGTATGCGTCAGTGACACAACTGTTAGTACGTTCTCCGACCGTGCATATCATCCGGAGGTCAATCCCCGGCCGTCGCACACCAGATGGCAATAGTTGGCCTGCTAAATTTTGGTAACCTAAATTATATGCTGAAAATTCTACACTTGTAACAAAATACTGTGTGGAATAAAACCGTTATGAAATAAATAAATAATAAAATAATGAAACAGTTAGACAGATAGCAATTTTAATGGATTTATTCTTGTCAGTGAACTACGGAAGGGTTTGTAGGACTGTTGTCTAATTTAGTCCTGTGTGTCATAGTGTATCACACTGTATTTGAATAAACGACGATCTGCAGTATGATTCCATCTGAAAAAACGTCCTCTCTCATCAAAGATAATTTAATATTTCTGTGTTTTAAATTCAGATTTTGACTACGACGACGTTAGCGAATGTAAGTCTGGGGTGTATTGCAGGTCAATAGCATTTTTAACAGTCTTCATGGTACGTTATTTGCACCACGCCTAAATGTCAGTCAGTTACTCACTCATTCACTCCCTCACTCAGAGACACTGTAAATCACTCATTGACAATATCAGACCTCGATGATTTCGTCAATCGTTTCATTCCATATGTATGCAGCGAAGTTGTTTGTGTTTTCTTTGAGGGTGAGATTGAGTGGTGCAGTATAGGATAAATGTGCATGAAATTACATAAGAATCGGCGCCTGCTGTTACTGGCTCACATATTATTAGTCAATCGCCCAGTGTCAGACACTATTTAAACATTCAACATGATGTCAGTTGTCGTCATCACATAGGTTTATCTCACTGTATAGTACACGCGCTTATTTATCATTGAGAATAAGCGATTTGATTTGCAATCTAACATTTCTCTAGGTTTCCATATTGGTTGTGAATCACTCTGAGAGGAATTCGGTGTTTTCGAAGATTGATGTAATATTTGTACGTGTGGAGATTTGTGAGATGACAGGACTGAGTACGGGTTTCTGTTGGTTGAAGTAGATGTTGGTCCTATTATTAGCAGGTCACGAAATGCCGTTACATATAAAGCATAGAATAATTCCTTAAGTTATGTTCTACTTCGATTTCGCGAAAGTCAACTAACAATATGCGTGAGAGCATCGTGCGTTTCCAGTACATAAGTGACTGGTTAGGACAATGAGAATTAGAGAGTGTAAGATGCAGTGTGTACGGTGGAATTCCAGGCAGTCCAGTGACTCATGCGGGCCACCACGTTTGATGATCATCATTTGCGCTGATCCGTGTGCATTTTCCTTCCTATACCAACTTGTTTACTCAGTCAGTGCAACTTCCAGATGTTTGCAATCGGTGTGCTTAATCTTAACAGCAACCACTTAATCTCATTTGAGCCATTTTTTCCTTTTCATTTTCAGTTGATGAAAACGAGTTTATTTCTTACTGTGAGGGTTTGCTATCGTTTGTTACAGTGATCTCTACTTTGCAATGGATTTCTTACTGACAGTCTATTAATATATGTTGGGGACGGTTTTGTGGAATATTTCCTATTGCTTTGCAAAAAGTATGTTTTATCCTAAATGGTGTAGTGAAATGTTAGCTTCATTTCTGCTTATCAGATTCTCAGTCTGCTGCTCATTTCCCAGCATGATATATTCATCTGTTGTTTAGTTTTCGTTCACCCTGATGTCACAATATTTTGTAGTTTATGCCTCACATTCTACTTGCGACCGTAATAGGCCCCAGCTCACAATAGCCACTGGTGGCAGGTTTTCTGCACTTATGTGAATAATCGTTGTAAAGATATTCAGATGCATTCGACTGATTGTCTGTTGTAAATATGAAGCTTCGATTTCCGGCGAACTACAGCATACATTGCTACCACTGCTGCGTGTTAGAAGTCATTCATTCATGGGGCGAATTTCACCAAAACTCAGAATAGCATCATTGTATTGTTAAATAACCAATAACACCACGATTATTTTCGGATGCGTAGGGATCTTCTGGCAAATTTAGTATGTAAAGGCAGTTTTACTTCGAAGCAGTTGGATGGACCAAGTTATGCTTTAAGCCCCAGTAACTACCTTCAGATCGCAACCGGACCAGTGACCTTGAAACACTCACTCAGCAAGGTGGCAAAACCTGAAAATAATGATGTCATCATCAATAAAACATGCTCATCGAATTTGTATTCTATTAAATGGGATATCTGGGAATTTTCAGCTTAGGTTTGAAGAAAATTAAGTTAGGCTTTAAAGCAAGGGCTAATTAGGGTAAGGTGAACCTAATTAAGGTGACTTAAAGGTTGGTTCGAGACCTGAATAAATGCATGCATATAATGTGGTTAAATTACTCTGTTGTTTTAAGAATATAATTTGTGCACTGTGGCGGTAGACTATAATTCCATTGTGGGTAAAATTGATTTTGATAAAGGCGTTCAGTGTTATACAGTAATATTTATTGATGACGTTACAAGCACAATTTATTGCTCAGGAAATATTACTGTACTACACTACGACAATTTATCAAGGTAAATTTTAACCACTGTGTAATTATACTGTTGATACTCCAACCTAAAACTGAGAGTTTCCATCACATGTGAGAGCAGTATCCTGTAACACTTTTCTACAGCTTGGCTGTTAGCGTTGCTTAAAGTTTAACTTTTCCGTTGAATGTATTGTGAGATGAGTGTAACTTCTGACTAGGGAGATTTTTGTTGTCAGTTTACGGACTTCAGAAATAGTTGAATCCGCCAGCTATCTGATTTCTTATATCACGTCTTCAACAAGAAGCAGTTAGCCGCATTCTAATTCATCATACAGGAGAAGTTTATTATTTATTGTATGGCTTACTTAGTATATTATGTAGACTTAATTAAATAGCCCCAGGGAAATATTTTTCTCTATTTCAGATGATCCGAATTCAACACTAGGCGCATACGCAGATTCATACTGTGAGGCTATGAATTCTAAATGTAGGTGTTGATTTCACTTAAAAATTATTTTGAAGTTGTCTCTTGGCTTTAGACTGTTCTATAATGATCGGTGTTCACTTCCTCCTACTACTCATATCGCTTGCGTTGATTCGTAGAAGGCTAATCACCAAATTCAATCACTGACAATACTGAGTAGCTTTTAAAAATCTCTTTTGCAACTGTACGTCTCCACTGAATTTCGAGGAAACATATTTCTCATGTCAGCAGATGTATGCAATGTCACCTGAATGTAACAACGTGCAAATCTTTATTGCAAAGTAGAGCAAGAAACTGGTGCTTCGACGTGAGTGATATTGCTTCAACTATTTCAGGAAACTTGTTAATTTCTTGAGAGAGTAGTTTGTTTGCACGTGGATATTACAGACTGAGATGAGTTGAATACCAGTTGGATGCTAATGTTGATGAGACTCCAAGGACTACTCACTTAGTACTGTTTACTAGTAGATTGTGCGAAAAATATATATAGGTTTATCTGTAGGTGTGTCGATAATGCACAGAAGCCAGCCACACTTCATGAATAATTAGTTACACGAAGACAGAAGGTGAACATTTAGTCTATCAGAACTTTTGGTCAATCATATAAGAATCTACATACTACATACTTATTTCCACCGTTTGTTCGTTTAGTTCTTATGACTGAACTTCAGACATACGTTGATCCCCAGAATGCGGAAGAAACAATAAAGCCCGGTGAGTAATTTTATCAAGATATCTGCATGGCTGCAAATAAATTCGAGCCATAAATATGTGTTCTGGTCCTTTTCCGATCAATGGGTTATGTTGTATTTCATGCAATCTTATGAATCAGAGATGCACAGTTGTGATCCCTTTGAGGATGACTAAGTATCTCGTTAGTTTGTCATCAAGTGACAAAGATGGAATGTACCTTCCGGTCTATGTATGATAAAATCCATGATACGAGAATAAGGCTGACTGGTTGTGATGGCTGAAATAATTCATGTTTAAAGTGTGACACGAAACATTTCGGATCAATAGAGACTCCTTCACCTTCCTACTCATACTGCTAAGCGAATTATCACTGCTTTTTGGTGATGTGAAGCATATAATTGAAAGCCAAAGTCCCACTGACTGGCTCCACAACTGCCCAATTAACTTCCATTTTACGTAGACATAATCTCCAGTATGGCATGACAGCTCACCTCCTCATGTGTCATTCATGTCGTACCAACTGTCAACGGTCTCCCCAACGCATTTATCATCCAATTTCGTTTCCGGTTGCATATTTGTTGGTCAGTAGCTCCAAGATTGATTCATACGTCGACATTGATTTGACATTAGTTTTGCAGACCCAGATCTCGTTCCTTATAAACCCATTTACAGATGTGAAAGCGATGGAATTCTGTCTTGCATTGTGGACCACAACTGACTGCGATATCCCCACGCCTGCTGCTATGTGTAATTGAAACAATGCTGCCTGGATAAGTATGAGAAATGACTTTTTTCGCGTATGTGCCGTTGGCTGGTAAGTTGTGCTCATCACCTCTCTTTTCTCTATACTGACCTGAAGATGTATCTTCTCCGGTTGCTTCTTCTCCCAACGTGTTCGTCTACACCTGCATATCTGCGAGTTTATGTGACATTAGAGAAAAACCATCGGTGAAATTCAAACCTCCTTGAGTTGGCTTTTTGAAACAACGTTTGACCATCCTCTTGTTGTTCATAGTCTGTTACACGACTCAGTCAACCGCTACCAGAAATACCATCGGCGTACAGCATCACTGAGCGTTCCGTTGTGGATCTCTCGACATTTGCCATATTCATGTAGCTGTACGTTGCACTGCACTCCGTAGTTTGGAATACTTCCGAAGGTCTTTTCAAAGTCCATGAAGTTGAGGGAGATATTTAAATATAACCCTGTACTCTCTTTAATGATGAAGCAAAGTGTTGCGATTTGATCCGTTCATGAATTGACTTTTCTGAGTCCAATTTGTTACTGGGGGGTTTAGCATTCGGCCAATCATTTGGATCCTCCAAGATGATACAAGCTAGTATTTTTCCTGGATTAGGTAGAAGCATGATTCTCGTCCTTCTCTTGCAAAGGCAAATGTCGCCATTCTTTGATAGTTTAACAAGGTACTCTGTACTTTTGGCAAGCATGTGACCTACCTTCAACCAAAACACTACGTACTAGTTTTGCAGGTATATCCGTTGATGTACTTCAAAACGAACTCTATTTGCTTCTGTCGCATTTCGGACTTCAGTACTATTAAAGTCTTCGAAATATTTGACTTTGTTGGATGATTGGTGTTCACTGAGACTATTGTTCCTGCTGTTGATGGTATCTCTGAGCAATTCGCATGTGGTTTTTTTCAGAGTTTACGTGCTTTTTTTTCTTTTCTACTTAGCATCCCTTTGCTGGGCTCCACTGGTTTTATATGATATAGTATTCCTAGGTTTCTCTTCCCTGAGAATATTCTCCTTCACTTGCCAATATTTAGCATCTGAAGGTCTTCTCTATTTTACGTCCAGCATGCTGATTCGTCACATTCCTGGCATTGTGATGGAAATATCTGATATTGGTGTGTTTAAGTGATGAAACATGTCATTTTGTGCATGTTATATTGACACCTTAAACCAACAACTAAGTGAAAACACAAAAGTATGTGAACGATCCTCCGTCCTCACTTTTTCCACCTACAACATCTAGACACGAAGGCTAGCCTTCCCTTCTTGTTTGTTCCTATTTTTGCATTTTGATTTTTCCATTTAGTGTTGTCTACTTTACTATTTGCAGTTATCTGTAAAATTCTTCCCTCTCCTGTTGGTCCACGTTACTTTTAGAAGGACGGCACTAAAATCCGATCTGTTTTAATTGTATGTGTGTTGTGTGTTTGCGATTAAATGAAGTCTAATTTAAATCGAACGTCAAAGGAGCAAACAATGTGGATTGTTTTTGCTGGAAGAAATTGGGACACTGAAGTGTCACTACTATTTGCAAAGTGGAATCACTGCACATAGGCAATACTAATAGGTTATGCATAATGGATCATGATAACGAAACTGCAGTCAGAAAAACTTACAGTGGAAAATAAACACAATTACATATTTTATGTTGAACACAAACGTCCAAAAGAATGACAAGAAAATGAATAAACAAAGTATCAGATGAATGTGTAGAACAACATTCTGGTTTATGAATCGTAAGATGGATACAAATTGGTTCACAGAACTCCTTATTCATTCCATCAAATCTCATATATTCCAGTACCTACTCCTTCAGTAACTTAAACAGTAGTCAGCCTTTCCATCAATGTCATAATCCTTGGAAATAACAGTGATCTGACAGGTATTCATTCAACCACTCTCAATTACCTGATACTCAAACACGGAAGACTTTCGTCATTGAAAGGTTTCAAAGTACTGAACGTAGGCATGAAATTCCACCTACTGGTGACTTTCAAGCTGAGTATACTTAAATAAAGGAGCAATAAACTAGATAGGCATAAGTGTGCTGCTGACTGTTCAGGTTTACCCACAGTACACAAAACACAGATGATCTATCTTTTCACAAAAACCTACGATCAATAAATGTTGTGCGTCGGTGGCACAGTGGTTAGGACTCTTTCCGACCATGCACATGGTCCGGGATTCGAGCCTGCACCGACGCACATCTGATATCTATGGTTGGCCTGCAAAATTTAGGCTACCGATATCCATGCTGAAAATCCCATACTTGTACCGAAAATACAGTGTGGAATCAAGCTGTAAATAAAAAATAAAAAATAAAATAAAAAAATAAAATAAAACGTCTCCAACATGCAGGACAAACAACCAGGAACAGATTAGTTAACTTGAACATGAGGGAGTGCAGAATTACATAGATGAACGGCAAATGGAGAATAAGAAATGGATGCACAGCATCATTTCGCTGGTTAAAATTCTCTCTGCAAATAACCCGTTTTGACCAACATTACGACATGCACTAATATTTCGTTATTTTCACTTTAAACAGAAATCCTGAGACTTGAACACTTATATCAGAGTAAATGGGGGAAGGAATTTCTCGAGTGTAAGTCCTGTCATCCACTCACTCAATTCTTTGATGTCCTTAGAATGAACTGCTCGTTGAATAGTGGTGTGAATTTTCACTGAAATGAATTGCAGTGTCATCGGAGACGACCAAAGAATTCAATTACTAGACAAATAAATTATTAAAAAGAGTATTTTTGAGAGTGGTCTTCAGATGTCAGTAGCACAGAAAATTCTGTCAACAAACATTCTGCAAGATTTTATGGAGAAACCTCGAGTTGAGGAATGAACTTAATGTGCACATTCGGCAAAGTATTCCAGTACACATTTTGTCTATACGCATAGCACTAAATATTGATTTATAACATAAACGGTGAATACATTGGGCCATCTTCAGAATGAATGTCATTGATTAACCTTTCAACATTCCTTTCAATGCAATAACAATAATGTCAGGCGGATACGTTATCTAACGCCTAAAGCAAGTTGCTATGTACTTATTACGAAAACAAACAGCTCCTGTGTTTAGTTTTGATTTGCTGTAATTTTAACATCTGGCAAGTCCTCAGTCTACATTTCACGTTTTACTAATGTCCCCTTCTTACCTGCTTCGAAATCCAACTAAATAGCTTTCCAAAATCATCTGCACTTTTACAGCAATCGGTGTGGAAGATAAGAAGCTCGTAAATCTTTATAACGGTGGGTTATTGCATCCTAAAATAATTCACAGTGTGCATGAGACACAAGCATATGGTATTTGAAGACAAAAATACTTTGTTGCTGGTCGTGGAATGAACATCAGCTTGCAATCATTTGGTGTGACCGATGAAACTTAAATGTTCATATTTATTTTTATTTGACAACGCTAACAACTGAAGCCGTTACTACTCATCTATGCAAATGCAATCTATTCAATTTAATGAAGCATTTTAAAATTTGTTGTCAATTCAATCACTAGTGAATCAATTTCATCCATCATCTACCTACTCTAAAATGTCCTCTTCAACATTAGCTTGTTCAATACATACATGATACGGTGAAACAGCATGCATCATTGATAATATTCGGAATATAATTTAGGGTCCACATGTATATGAAGTTAATTTACACGACTTGGAGACTTTGATTATATAATTCTATTTTATTTTCATTAAATGTTGAATAGTTGAATAAGTTCACAATTATTCAGTTACATTGTGAAATTACTACTGTTATTCTAACTTTGTCTGCCTTGTCTTAAACTAAAATGATTCTAAGAACTTTCCGCTGTGGAGTATTCGGATTTAGCGAAATCATTTGCTTATTGAATGTGATGCACCACGGTATGCACAACCTAGCAGTGTTATTAAAGCAAGAAATAACTCTGTGGTCAACGCTGTCAAAAGTCTTCCCGAATTCGGTGAAGATGAGGTTAACGGTTGACTGAAATTCAAGGCTATGTTTGATGATGTTTCGCAGTTGTACAGTCAGATCCACACATGATTTGTCTTTTTTCAGTCTAAACTGATCCCAGTGGCTACATTAATCTGTGACATGTGTGTATCTTACTGTTCTATTACGAAATGACTTCCAGGTGATTGTTAAAATTGAATGCTGTTCGTAATATCATCTGCTTATAATTGAACCTAATTTTACACTTTCATATTGTAGCAGTGTGAAAATACACAAATCAGACTGCTAGTTATTTTAGGAATTATATAAGAACCATACAATGCTTCATTTTTCTGTAGATGCATACAGGAAAGCATTGGAAGAAGATACTGATTTTCAGCACAATGTTTCTGGTATGAATGATTTTCCTTAACTAAAAGTTATAATAAAACTTTATCTAAACTTCATTCATTTTGAACTGATGTTTTGTGCCTGGTCATCCTTTCAATCTGCAATCACACTTGCTTTCCAACCATGTCAATCGCACTTCTCCATCAAGACATTTCTGAGTGGAAATCCATGAGGATCAATCTGATTGCCGATAGGACGTTTCTTAACAAAGTAGATGGCTCTCCTATTTTTTTCTTTTTATTGATTTGTTACTAAGATTCACTGTTACGACAGATCGCATCCCAGTGATATTCAGGAGATTTTCAGGTTATTTGTCTATTGACTGATGACATCATATTTTCAGCTGATGATAATTTTCGTAGTTTGTATATGTGCTATCATATTGCTTCTTAGTCTTCCACAGAAAACGTATCATATTTGCAATAAGTTATGTATGGCTTAGGTGGTCAACATTTTGCGAACCGTATGAACAATAATTATATCTAGTGAATTTTTATGTGTTCCTTCAGCTAATAAGGTGCTATACAGTTTGATGAAAATGCATATTTCAGAGAAGTGGGAAAATCGAAAAACTCTGGATATCGCACAAAGTAAATTCCGTTATTATTTGATATTATGTAACAAACTGAATATTTCTCTTCTATAATTAGCTGATGTGCGTAAAGTCACAAAAAATTCTCACTTTTACAAAAGATTTACGACAACACATCTGAACGGCGATATTTCCCTTTAGACAGCACACCCACGAGTGGGAATTCGGACTAAGCGAGAACGAAAACGTAATACATCACTGACTGATATTTTTAAATCAAACCCAGCATGAATTCGTGGCGTTGTAGGACAAAACGACATCCTGTAGGAGTGTTCTGAGCAATTCATTGGTTCACCCCACAGACCGTTTGTATTTTGAGGCCTCTTGAATTTCTGCGATTTTCTCATCAGCACTGATATTTGTACTTGATACATAATGACAAGAATACCTATGCGCAGACGTGCTATCGAAACAATGGAGAGTAGTTTAGAGAACAAGCTATAGTTCGCAAAAACGTATATGTTTTCACTTCTTCATATTTTGTCATTGGAATCCCTCAAAAATTGACTACTTGCCACCGGTATGTGGGTGAGAGCGCACTTACTTGATGGTCTGATAGCGTTTTCTAATAAAGCTTTACACTTAGTCAGTAAGTTAACTGTGGTGTCATTCGAACTGACGTCAGCTGAATCCATATTTAAATTAACTGATTATGATAATGTTTTAATATGTTTGTGCGTTGAAGTTTCTGTAGCGATTTGGTCAAGTTTCGGGGGTGGATTTGCTAGACCACACCCCAACACTCCTTCTTTATCCGGGCATGGGACCGGCTAGAAAACTAGCGAGCTAGTAATCTTGGCGAGGTAAAACCGGAAATGGAAGCGGCGAGTGGGACGTCCAAGGGTGACATGGAGGATATCGTGTGCAGAGGAGGTGAAACAGTATGGACTAACATGGATGCGGGTACAGCAGAAGACAGAAGCAGGTGGAGACGTGTAGTTGAAGCCCTATGTTCCACTAGGAAACCAAGGGAACAATAATGATAATAATAATGATAATGCTAGATTCATCGAATGACTGGAAACCTAATGACCATGTGATGCATCAATTGCAGGTAAATTTTTTGCGAAGACATCAGGCAATTTGAAAAAATACAAAGGTTGGTTTTCTTTCATTTTGAAATTCATCCATCGTAACTTGTAGACTATGCTGAATTATCTCTCTTGACTTTATAAATAGTAGTTCGTCTGATGTCCCTAATATGTCTATTAACAATTCCGCTGTGTGGTGAAATGTATTCGTAATAAATCATGTCTGAATATCCTTTATGACAATGAGGTACAGCGGCTGGTTGATTGTTTGACTCAATTATCGAGTTGTTTGAATATATGGAAAAGCCGTCTCCACGAATCCGATCATTATGTCTACCCGAATTCATTGAGTATCAGCATATTCAGAAATGAAACATAACGTCACAATATCTGTCACAATATCGAACTCCAGATAGGTGGATTTCTATCGGAACTATATCTACTGAGATATCATCCTGATGAGCAATACGGGATGAAAATTATGACAACGAATACTGTTGTTTGTATTTTCTCGCCAACAAACAGAAAGTTGTTTTATTATTATTAAGTGGGAAAAGCGTGTGTGTGCTTGCCAGCATTCATGCCTTATATACTATGATTTACTCAGAAATAAATCACAGAAATATATTCACGCAATGGATTATCAGTGTAACGGTAGAAGACAAGTGCCTTAGGAAAGGAATGCTTACTTTGGATTTGTGATCGCCATGCCAACACCACTAGAAATGTAGCATGTCCTTATAAATCCAACTCGTAACATGAGAAACCATTGTCACGATTAATCATTCAATAAATTCACAAACGTTTGTTTAAGCATTTAATATTCTATGCATACGATTATTGTTCTATAATGGACAAAGTCGAGCCAACATTGAAGTTGGACAAAGATGCAGTATAAATGCAGATTAAACCTGGTAAATTCACTTGTTTTTGCTAATATCAGTAAACTGCTCGAAATGTCATGTGATAATTTGAACATTATCAACAGGATAACCATGAATTGCCAGAGTCAGAAGCCATTGCTATATTTTATGATCACTTCACGCTGAAGAATACACAATGAAACATTTCATACTTTTTGGTTTTGTGAAATTATAGTTCAAATTGAAATGATAAAGAATTATTTGAGAGAAGCGAATAAGAAAATGAAAACATTCAAAGGTAAGTTGATTCGATAACTTTGTATTCCACACTACTTTCACGAATAATAAACTGTTAGTATGAAAATTCACTCGTCATTGTGTTTACAGTCAGTGTTTACGTGTCCCACTTACTCATTAGTGACACATACATTAACTAGGTTGTATTAGATATCATTTTCATCACCAGTATAATAACATCTCATAAATATTACGAAGACTAGTTTTATCAACCGCTGAGTCAGCACTCGTTTCGTGAGGATTGGAGTGGACTTTTGAAAATTAAAATATTCAGTATGTTGTGACAAGAAACGTGTTGAGAAATAATCAGATAATTATGAAAGGCTTTCGGATCGTCAATATACTATATTCAGCATGATGATGGGTATGATTTGATGTTTCTTGAATAAATAAATATCATTCAACATTTTGTGTTTTCTCAGCTGACCTTAAAGTGTTGGAAAAGGCAGCAGTCATCGCATCTAATGCATACAGAAAAACTTCAAGTGAGTGAATGTATTCATCAGTTTTATCCGTGTACTTTAAGGTATGGTGAAATCACGAGTAGGACTGATATAATTAATCACTGGATGAATATGGTAATGTTTATTTGTGAAAAGTGGACGTATTTAATTAATCGTCAACATACAGATACCTAGTAAACATAATTTTCCACAACTATCCAGTAATTTCCACTTAACTGTACAAAGAACGTGAAGCCAAGTCTGACTTGCACTTTGCTTTACATTAAAAAGTAGACAGAAGAGAAGATCAAGCGTCCGTCTTCTCAAAATATTGGTTTAATAATTATATTGAAGATGGCATTGATCGTAGGAGTGGAATAGTTTACTTTGTCGTGGAATATAATTCAATATTAGAATGGTTCAGTGAATATAACACACATTTCCACAGTATTCATAACTGGATGACGTTCATATTATATGATTGCGTCATTATTACTCAGCTTATTCGCGAATTGTGGGCAAGGGAACATCTACAAATGGTGAGCGAACAATTTAACCTTTAATAATAATAATTTTTCCTTCACGTTCCCAATGGAACATAGGGCTTCAAGCCATTGATTTGAAGTTTCTGTAGCGGTGTATATTTTTACAGGATGATGTTGCTAGCCTCATACCCAACCTTTCCCCTTTACCAGCATTATTTCTGGCCCAGTGAGGTAAAGGAGTTCGTCGACCGGGAATCGAACCCCGGACCATGTGCATGGTCGGCGAGCGTCCTAACCGCTATGCCACCGACGCACCAATTTTACCTTGCTTACAATATTCTGAATTTGAAAATCTATTCATCACTAAGCTCCATGAGATTCATCTTGATTGAAAATAATAAAATTTCTACAACAAGAAACTTTTGAACTGCACGTTTAACAGAGAATGACATCATCATACTTGGATAACGGTAACTAGCTTGAAGATACAAACAATCAGACATTTGACTGTTAACAAGAAAACACTGAATAGAGGCCGAACAAATATCAACAATACATAACATGACATTTCGAACTGTTAGTGACTCTTTCTTAAAGATCTGTAGTTTGAAGATCATGTGAAGGTAAAGACGACAGGCCAACCAGACGATAAGTAAGAGTAGAAACTTACTCACATTGACTTTATTTGCATGAGGTATTTCCCTTCAATACCACCAAGTACGTATGAGACTATGAGTTTTATAACGAGTTATTATTTCTTCCAGACACATTGAATGATGCCGAAATCACAGAAGCCTATGAGAAGGCTCGCTCTGAGTTTGCCGACGGCACAGGTAATTTTACATTGTCTTTTAAAGTCTATCACATTTGATGTTATACACTTCTGAGGATGAGCACATTTCAAAGTGAATTCCGTTTTCGTAAGAATCAAAAGTAGCCTGTGTGGCTAATGACGTTTATATTATCAAGTTATCGTATTTGCTTATGCCAAATTAGGCTATATCATTGATAAAATTGGTAGTAATACTTGTCACACCAATATCAGAATCTGCAAATTGTTGGACAGTTGCTGACAGTTAAGTCTGAAATGTCTAAGGAGAATAGCGTCAGTTTACTGCTCGTGTGGTGTTTTTTTAAAAGTATTAAATACGCAACATATTCCCGATAAAGCTTTAGTGGCTTCATTAAAGGACCATGTAATAAATGCATGTTGTTGAGTTCCGAATATCAGTTGCACTCAAACTACTCGACAAGATCGAGTTTACTGAGATTCGAGCTTTGTTTCATATTGTCACAGCATGACATCGAAAATGCTACTGATACATCACTGACAATCTATTCACTGTTTCAGAGGAACTAAAGGAGAAAATAAAACAACTGGAAATGTGGAGGATTGAATTTTTAAAGTGTAAGTTGAAATGTAAAACTAATTTAGAACTGCCTAGTTCAAACTCCAGAGAATAGAATAAATTGGCTCCTGGCAGAAATGAAAGAAGACAATGAGCAGTATTACTGAAGTAAGTTTCTCCTTAGATTCTGATAGTTCTTTAAATTTCTAACTATCTTTACAAGTGAATATGAACTTGAAGTTGGCTTACACCGTTAACTGAAATCAGCCAGATGATTCTTTGAGAAACAAGTAGGACTGAACCTGTCTTCACTCGTATTTTCTGATCTCTAATAATGATTGATCTTCATAACTTCAGGGGCTGTAAACAATATCAGGTTTGTAACAAATGCAGGGAACATCGTAAATTCAAATGGTGCTTTGGATAAAAAAATTCGCGTAAGAGGAACTGCAACTTGGAATCAACCTTTTAATGTGTTTTAATCATCACTGAAAGTACTGCCTGTAGATTAGTGTAACTGTTGTTCGGACGAAAATTGTCGCCTATAATTTCTTCTATACAAGATGCATGTCTATTTCCAACTCACTAGTACTTTGCTTCTGATTTTAATTTGTTTCGGCTGAAGGAAAGGCAATTGGATTCCAAGGGAATTCAAGCAATATTGGTGAAGGGAATACATTGTTTGCGTATCTCTTTTTTGTTTTATTAAATATAACGTTTTCCTTTGTAAGATCTTGTTTTAGTTGGCGTTTTCTGTCTTTCTTGTAGAATGAGATATGTCAGAATGAAGTCGCTAACTGCAACAAATAGGCTAACCACTTGTGTAAAACTCGTGAATTATTGTTTTGACTGACGAATTATATTGAGTAGCTGAGATAAAATATCAATGAGGAGAAGCGTTATTATTTGCCGAAGACTACAAAGCACGTATAGGCACAAAGAAATCCAATCGCTTCGATATTTTCAAGTTATTTCCCACTGACATTTTTCATGAAATAGGATGCCGAAGGTGACCTGTGAAGATCTAGCCATGTGGAGGTTGATAGCACGTGGGTTGGTTGTCTACTGGCTATTTAGCCAACAACAGTGTACGATATAACATAATATACAATATCAGTTCTCAATCACACTATGAGTCATTCGAACACAGCAAATTCGTCATCGATGTTATGAAGACACATCATAGTCTGAGAATGACGGAATTAAAAGCCACATTCAATATACAATGTAAATAAGTCAACATTATGTTTTGAGAGCTTTTATTCCCACCATATTGGAATGTGTTGAAAAAAACATTGAGTATAAAAAAGTTATTCATATCTCTCATATGTTTCATGTATAAAAGAGATTAACCTGAATGTTGTGTACACTAAAATACAGTCGAATTAAGGCAAAGACAGTGAAATGCAGACTCTGTTAATAACACACTAAATGATGTAAAAAAGTCATAGATTTGCCAACTATATCAACCCTGAGTTGCATAGATGTCGCCTTCTGCAAAAGCTACATATGGAATCGACAACGAGCTGATGGGCGCATGGATGCCTTAATAGGATTTTCAATCGGGAAACACGATTCTCCTTCCTGTCAGTCGAACTGTCATTATACTTTGAAATTCGTTCATGTAGTAATCTGTGAGAGACTGAGGATAGACAAAGTGAGCGAGATACAGAGAGAAAGAGTGAGAGAGCTGATAATGCTTTGAAGTGATGATGGAAATTTACTTCTTCTTTGGTTATCCTGGTGATGATGAAATGGTGTGCTTGTTTTCGGCGTTAATGCGTCTCTGATTGTATATGAATTGTATTTCAATATAGAAAAAGGTTCCCATTTAGACATTTAGAAAATAGAAGGATTGAGCGAAGAAATGTTTACTTTTCAACTAGTAACCACAACAATAACAGTGTGAAGACACCAAGAATAGTGGACAGATGCGGTGACTGCAGAAATTGACGATTCATCATTGATTGAGATTCAGATATCACGAATTTGCAGGAGTACTGTACTACTATAAAAGAAGAATAAATACAACAGTCAAAGGAGTCTATCTCTTCTGTAGTGAATACTGAAGACTAATCCGCATAATGGGATGTGGAGAATAGAGAAAGAGTGAGATAGACAGAAAAAGAGAGAGCGAGTGGTCAATTCGTAGGTAGAAATGTGGTGAGAGTGGGTGAGTGTGATTCAGTCGCTCTTTGTTTGTAATTCCATATTAATAATTTAATAATTCCCATTATTAGGAACACAATATTCAGTAAAGAGACTCTTTTCAACGGATTTATTATCAATCTGAACAATCATATATATATATATATATATATATATATGGTTTTTGAGAAATTATATCCGGTGAGGGAATTAGGTCAAAGGTGTGAATACATGAAATAATAGTAATAGTAGTATGAAATACAATTAAAATATTTGTGATTATAATCATGGTTTAATGTCATGTGGCAAATTAAATAATGTCATATATAGAGTAATACATAAGGTGTATAGATTTTGGAAAGGTGGCACAGTGGTTAGGACTCTCGCCGACCGTGCACATGGTCTGAGGTTCCATCCGTTGCCGACGCACACCTGACATCTATGGTCAGCCTGCCAGATTTTGGGCTACCGATATCCATGCTGAAAATTCCACACTTGTACCAAAAATACGGTGTGGAATCAAGCTGTAATAACAAAAATATAATATGTTACATAACATGGTGTGAAATTTGATAAGATAGAATTATAAAATAAGAAAATGTAAAAATTTACATATAGAAAACATATAGCTTGATAATAAATTCGTTGAAAAGAGTCTCTTCGCTGAATATTGTGTTGTTAATTCTAAATTAGTTTGTTTATTAGATGTATCACACAATGAATCAGTAGTATTTACTGGATGACATTTCGAAAAAATTTATTGTTTGTGTTTGTGTTTGAGTGCGTGTTTGTTTAGTATGTTGGAGAAATATTCTCTCTACACCTTGTGAACTTCAAATAATGATGAGGTAAAAGTGAAACTGTTGAGGACAGAATTTACCTGAAAGCCTATTGAGAGGTAATCATGAGAGGAATAGTGTGTGTTCATGTATGCCTGTGTAATTAACATGTGTGAGTCTCGTGTTTTCGTTTTAAGGGAGAGGGACAAAATGGAGTTAGAGATGGATAGACAGAAATACAGTCAGAGAGAACACTGTGTGTGCGTTTATGAGTGATAGAGAGACATAGAATTTTAAGAGTTTATCGCACTGTTAAAAAGTACGCTAAGCCTCTACTAGAGAGCAGCGAAGCTTGATATGCTACACCATCAACAACAAAACCCATCCATCTTTTAAAACATTCATTTTGCTTCCCGATACCAATTTAAAACAAGCAATAAAGGTTAATAAAGCAGGATTTAATGAATTCATCAAATTTCGGTAGAACTCGTCAGCTGAATACTCTACATACACGGATATACATACTTTTGTAATTATATATATATATATATATTATATATCCGTGTATGTAGAGTATTCAGATGACGAGTTCTACCGAAACTTGATGAATTCATTAAATCCTGCTTTATTAACCTTTATTGCTTGTTTTAAATTCATTTTGCTGTTAATAACACCTGGCTTTCTGTGGTGATGTCATTTCGGCACACTGTCTTGCACTATCTATCCTACATCTGCCTCCTACTTTTCTACTCTGATAAATCAACTAATATAAGAAAACATCCTCATTTAGACATTTAGAAAGCAGAAAGATTGAACGAAGAAATGTTTGCTTTTCAATTAGATCCTCATCTCTGACTCCACCCTAATATATATCCACAGCATTTTTATTAGAATACACAACAATTTACCAATCAAGAGGCAATGTGTATGTTAACAATAATTAGCCAGTGTCAACATGTCAGTGGGGAGTTGATTAGAAGAGAAAATTAATACACACAATTAAAAGGTTGGAAATGGTTACAACACGTGGATTGTATAATGCATAGTTTCGGAAAAATGAGGAGTAAATAAGGAATAAGCTTGTACACAGGTTGATTACGTAACAGTTTGTTAAAGAAAATAAAACGATTTGGACAATGATAACTTGTAACTAACAGTGAGGTCATCATAAGAATAAAATAATTTTACAACGATAACATGTAAAGATGAAGTGGTATGAAAAAATAATAAAATAAGTTGGACAATTATAATTTTTATAATATTCAAAGGTTTAGGGGGAGGGTGTTAAAGCAGTTCGGTGGGTATAAATGAATTGAAATAATTCAGTAGGGGGTCTCATTTAAATAATCGTCAAGCTGTAAAACCACTAACCTATGATTTTAAATGATAATGTGAATTGTTACCCACCTGCCTGAGTATTTCAAAGAAGGATCTCACAGTCTTTGAAACAGATACTCGCCGGAGCATTGGCTAGACTTTTTATGCAGAGAAAGAATTGTTTAGTAACCGGAAGCCTCATTGTCCTAATTCATTAATTGGTAAAGTATAACAATCCTCATTCATACGTTGTGTCTACTTATTCTTTGTTTTGTTTATTCTGTTATTAAATCCTTCCCTTATCATATCAATGTGTATTATTAGTTTTACATTCAAGAATTTCTGGGAATGCCTCACTTGTCATCTTTGATGTTTTAATTCGATGTAATTCTTGCATTGTTGTGCTGTGATAGTTATCACGTTTTTTGTGTAAGGTTTTGACTGCTTACTAATTTTATTATATTATATTATTACTATATTATATTATTAATCTTATTATAACATCTTAACATATTTTGACCTATTTCATAAATCACATTGTCAATTATTTTTTCCCAAGATTTACAACCTCTTAAAAATATTCATTTACATACATATATACATAGTGACCAAATTTATTGGGTTATGGTCTCAACTCAAGAAATTGACCTCTATGTTTTACTGTATAGCTGGCAAAATTTCTTCGAGACACATGGTATCACAAAACTTTAAAAAACTCAGGGGAAAGACGATTATTTTCCAATATATTTTAGGCGGTTTTATCAAATAACAATTATATTAGTATGAAATTTACTTCGAAAGTGCTATGAGGCAGCTATACAGACAATGCATTTTTTCTGAATGAAAAACAAAACACAATAAGAAAAAAATTATTTTAAGTTCAAATGTGAGAAGTAAGTAGGATAAACGAGAATATTCCTAACGAGTTTGGAACATCAGCTCAGTCCACAAGAATCACACTTTAGGCATTCCTGGAGACAGTCGCAGGTAAGAATGACCTGTATTCAATCAAACAAGAACGTACTGTTAAAGGACACATTTTCAATGTACACATTATCAGAAAGAAGTAATACAATTAAAGATTGAACGAGAACAAAGGCAAATAATGAAGAAAATTATCAACATGTACCATACAAATGTCAACTAAATGATACACAGTCTAGTATGAATGCGTATAATACATTAACGAATTAGTTGAGGCGTATAAATAACTATGAATATTATATATAGATCATACAAGAGAAATTTCCTAAGTAGATGATCCATTACAACTTCATCCCATGGAAACAATGACACTACGGACACTTTAGTAAACAGCTCCAATCTTTTTGTTCCACTCAAAGTGATGTGAAATGCAAAAGCTTGAGAGGGAATTGGAATCTCTCAGTAGAAATATTTGTGAGTACTACACGCAGCATCAGTATCTCATTATGTCTTCATATGCCTGTAATAGCAATAATACTTTTATTCCTAACAACATGTATAAAATATTTATTGTAATTTTCAGATTAGTAACTACACAGGAAATACATGAACTGGGCATTTAATCTGGTAATCTTGCGAAATAGGAAAAAGTATAAGAAATCGAGATTAAATATTATCGACATTGAGCCAATAAAATAAAGAATGAAGACGGCCGTTTACTGAGTGTTCCGCATTAAGCTGATAATATCCCGAACGACAATTTCCTCACCACAAACGATGAGTGTGCGATGAAGAACTGTACAGTTTGTATGCCTAGGTTTATTATCTTTTATTTGTTTTTTTATTTTTGATTACAGCTTGATTCCACACTGCATTTTTTTGGTACAGGTATTGAAATTTCAGCATGTGATATCGGTAGCCCAAATTTTGCAGGCCGACCATATATATCAAGTGTGCGTCGGCAGGGGATGGAACCTCGAACCATGTGCATGGTCGCCGAGGTTTCTAGCCACTGTGCCACCGATGCTGTTTGATAAGAATAACCATCACTTCTGTTTTCTCCTTTTCATGTGTAGTCCCATCTTCTATGTCTGCTTCTTCTGTCACAACCTTGTTACTTTTCACTTGCATATCCTCAATTTTGTGAGAGACCAGACATATATGTGATGTCTGTCTCTTCATTGCCTGCTGTCTTACACATTATTCAATCTGCAGAAATCAGGAAAATCACTGGAGATAGTAAGAAGCCAGCCTTGTCTTACTCTTGTCTTCACTTCTTTGAAGTATTCCGTGAGTTTTCTGTTGTGGATTACTTGACATACAGCATTATTTTACAACTTTTGAATGAGGTGTATAATTGTTGGCGACATCCCGCAGCAGAGAAGTAGCTCCCAAATCACCTCTCAATCGACGCTGTTGAAGGCCTTTTCAAAGTCAATAACGTTGATGTAAAAAGAGGACTGCAATTTAAAGCTCCACATGTTCTGCCTCTGAACTATATACACGTTTCCGATTACCTTTTAGTAGCCAAGCTGTAAAGTGTTCACGAGCGCTTTTTCCAAGTTGGCTAGTTTACTTTCTCTTGCGGAGCTGAGTACATAAGCTATACCATGCTTATGTAGGATGTACAAGTCACAGCATCAATGTATGATCCCATTTTATTGTCTGGTGAATAACCATGACTGAGCAAATACTCAAAATATGTACAATCTCTCACCAGTTAATTGAGCTTATTTGTTCGCCGATAAGTTATTAACTGTTATGCTGCAGAGTCTTTTGTTCTTATTCTTTCAAGTCACCTGTTGCTAATCATTGAGTGAGGGTTATATGTCGGTGAAATTCTGCAGGTTGTTGCAAGCTTATATGATAAAGTTCCTTAACTGTTAGAAATATGGTAATAGTTAATTGAAATGAGTGTTTAAATTTACATGTTTCATTGAGCCAAGTGCTGCGGATCTTCAAACTTAATATGCAGTAAAAGATATAAATTATTATTATCAGTTCCTTTAATTCTTAGAGGTACATAGTGCTTCATTTCGTTCGGTCCTCTGTTGAAGTTTTCACCCGGCTTCAGGTCTGTCCACATGCTTTCATTTCCGTTTCACCTGACCTCCTCCAAGTCACCCTTGGACGGAGAACTCGCCGCTTCCCTTTCGAGTTCCACTCGAGAGCTTGTCTATTGATGTCACTTGATGGTTTCCTCCGAGTTTGGCCAGTCCATCTCTATTTCTTCCTGCCTATTTCTCGCACAATCGGTTCTCACCTGGTTGGTTTGTTCTCAGAGATCCATAATGTGGATCTTTTATGGCCAGCTATTTGATCTTCAGTATTGAGCGAAGACAGCTGTTAATGAGGGTTTGAAGTTTGTTGGAGATGCTCTTTATGACTCGCCAAGTCTCTGATCCGTATAGTAGCACTGACTTAACATTGGAGTTGAAAATCCGGATCTTATTTTTGATGCTGAGTGCTGTTGACCTCCACACAGATTTGAGAGTAATGAAAGCTTGTCTTGCTTTTCCGATTCTGGCTTTGATATCCTCGTCAGTTCCGTTGGCCTGTAGTTGAAACGATGCTTCCCAGGTAGGTGGATAAAGAAGGTTGTTTCTTATAGGTTGTTCTCATTTATGCTGACTGTTTTCCATTGTTGTTGTTGCATTTGCTTTTCACCCAGAATCTTCATCACCTCTGTTTTCTCCATGTATATTTGGAGTCAAATTTTTTCAAAACCGTTGTTGTAGCATCCATAATAAAAATTACTAGAATGACGTGTGAATGCATGTGTTCATGTCCCGATTACGCGTTTCATATGTCTCGGCAATACCTTATGCCAGAAAAACTAGCCGTAGGTCACAGTTGAGCTATTGGTTTTTGAGGTAAGCACTCATTTTTGTATCAACGAATTTATCATCAATCTGCGCAATCACACAAATATACTTTCCTGAAAATTGTGAACTGTCACAGAAAATAAGTGGCTGGATTCTTTGTAAAATAGTCCAAGAGATGTATACGTATATATCAAAGTGGTTATTAAATAGCGAAGAGTAGTCAGCAATTAAAGCACTCCACAACAAAATGAGAGTTATGATAATACAATATTGCAAAAATTACACTGAATTGAATATTCAACTCTGACAGGTTAGACAGTTTCAGAAATTTTTGTAGTTAGAATTATTCATTAATTGACGATTATTGTCTCCTATGATACTAAATATCATTTTTTACACAACTAAGTTCACATCAGGTCAGCTATAGCTGGAAGAAAGTGTCGATTAATATATTATTGAATGCTGAATTATAAAATCTTTATAATCCTTCATCTTGCACGCATCTGATGTAGTTAGGAAAGTTTAAAGCAGTTATCTATTATATTATCGTGAAACACTAAGTAAACGGTCCACTTTATTCTTTATTTAATTGTCGCAATGTTTCTGATATTTGATTTTAATTTCCTATTCATATTCCTGCTTAACAGTATTGTCAGTATAAACGCTCTTTTCATTTATAATAGCTGTATTATGTGATGGGGAATTTAGATGAGATATTCCATATGTGCTGAAAATTCCACACTTTTGTCAAAATACTGTTTAGAATAGAACTGTCAATGACGAAATAATGAGAGAATGATGACATGTGTATTACTCACTAAAATTCCTACGCAGAGTTTTAAATTCGCTCCCTCATTGTCCCATTTTACAGCGCGCTGAGTGGAACCTATTGCTTCTAGCTATCTAACAAGGTTTCCGCATGGTTCGTGTTTCCACAGGACGAGACTGAATTTGACAAACTGATTACAGAATCCCCCTCAACGATGTGTTTATAATATCCATAGGTATTGTGACGTTTCAGCTAACTCTGTAATTAGTAAATGCTTTCCCACTTCAGCACGATGAACCTCTTTGCACCAAAAGAAAAAATCTGTGTTGGGACATGGAACGTACGCACTATGTACGAGACTGGGAAAGCTGCTCAGATCGCAAACGAGATGAAGAGATACGGAATCCAAGTGCTGGGAATATGTGAAAGCAGATGGAATGGGAGTGGACTCACCAAATTGTCAACAGGTGAGTCAGTGATCTACTCCGGTCACCCAGAAGATAACCACACGCACACCGAGGGCGTGGCTATCATGATGTCGCCAACGGCAACGAAAGCCCTGATGCAGTGGGAGGTGATCTCGTCCAGGATAATGACCGCCAGATTCAACTCCAAAGGAAGGAAAGTGCCAATCATACAATGTTATGCACCCACAAACAACGCAGACCTCGAAAAGAAAGAAGAAATCTACAGACAACTACAGGCAACAATGGACAAAACTCCAGCTGGCGACATTAAAATACTAATGGGAGACATGAACGCCAAGCTGGGACCAGACAACACAGGAAGGGAACTCATCATGGGTAGAGAAGCTCTCGGAGAAATGAATGAAAAGGGAAAACTCTTCGCCGACTTCTGCGCCTTCAATGAACTACCAATAGGTGGCAGCGTATACAAACACAACAATATTCACAGGGCTACATGGGTGTCACCAGACGGGTGAACTAAAATCCAAATTGACTTCATCTCAATGCTGCTTAGGAAGTGAAGAAACAGCTTACTGGACACACAAATACGAAGAGGAGAAGACGTTGGCTCAGACCACTATCTCGTACAAGAGACAATCCAAATCAAATTAAAAGCTTTCAGGGAATCAGGAGCTGCAGAAAGACCACAAGCCAAGTTCAACACTCAAAAGCTGAAGGACCAGGCTACAAAGGACATCTTCATTGCAAACATAAAGGAGAAAGCTGAGATACAAATCAACACCAGCAAAGAGTTCGGCGTCGAAAAGCACTGGGACAACTTGAAAACGGTGTGGAGCCAAACCTGCATGGAAGTTCTAGGCAGAAAGAAGAGGCAAGAAAAACAGTGGCTCACTATGGACACTTGGAAACTAATAGAAGAGAGAAGGACAGTGAACAAAAGATTATCCAGTGCACTGACGAGCAACAAAAACAGGAGCTGAATTCAAGCTACAATACACTGAACAAAAGAGCGAAGAAGAGTGCCAGGGAAGACAAAAGAAAATATTATGAAACCATGGCAAACGAAGCAGAACAAGCTGCAGGCAAAGGAGACCTCGCCACACTCTACCAAACAACTAGACACCTATCGGGCAAAAGTCCGACACAGACTAAGCCACTAAAGGATGAAAATGGAAAGTCAATCACCAAAGAGGTGGAGCAAAGAAAACACTAGGCTGAACACTTCAAAAGATTTCTAGATAGACCGCCACCTACAACGCGCCCAACAATACCAACAACGGAAGCAGAACTACCAGTGAACATCGACTCCCCGACGAAATCAGAAGTCCCGAAAGCAAACAAGATGCTTAAAGCTGGAAAAGCAGCAGGACCAGATGGAATCCCAGCAGAAGCATTGAAAATAGACCCAGAGACAACAGCGGGCTTGATGACGCCATTACTGGAGAAGGTGTGGAAAGAGGGCAAAGTACCCGAGGATTGAAGGAAAGGATACTTATTCAAACTACCAAAGAAAGGAGACTTTAGTCAATGCAAAAACTTGCGCGGAATTATGCTTCTGTCCATTCCAAGCAAAATACTAAGCCGCATAATCCTGGAGAGATTGAAACAAGCCCTAGATGAAAAACTTCGACCGGAACAAGCTGGATTCAGTAAAAACAAATCATCACGGAACAAAGCTTGGAATGGCAGTCACCTCTCTATCTCAACTTCATCGACTTTGAAAAGGCCTTCTACAGCGTCGACCGAGAGGTGATTTGGCAACTGCTTCGCTACTACGGGGTCCCATCGACATTTATACATCTCATCCAACAGTTGGTATTACGACAATGCTGCATGCCAA